CAAGTGATATATCAATTACCATTTTACACATTGTAGCCTGAAGACCTCAGAAATGGTATCATCTTAGATTCAATTTCATCATATCTGAGGGAGAATGCCATGAAGAATGAACCATCAGAACAAGAACACAGAAATAAAACAGCACATAAAAGCAAAAACTAACTAAATTCAGGAACAGCACCTTTCTTGTGACCAGTGAACAGTGGGATCATCCATTTTGTTCACAACCACGAACAGCTTAGATACACCCAAAGTTTTTGCAAACTGAACATGTTCACGGGTTTGCCCACCCCTCTCATCTCCAGTTTTGAATTCCCCTTTACTGTCAGAAATAACCTAATTATGACAGTCGGATAGAGAACAAGAAAGAGAAAGAGACAGAATTAAAAATTCAAAAAATGGGACTTGTACAAAACAAATGCAGTGAAGTGGCACCTAACTCACCAGAACACCAATATCTGCTTGGGCTGCTCCACTGATCATATTTGGGACATAACTCTTGTGACCTTGAACAAATGACCCAACACTCAAAGTTTAATCATATACTGAAGCAAAATTGATGGGAAATATACATTCAAAACACAACAAATTATGGCCAAAGAGTACAAGAGCTGAGAGTCTTATTCTGTAAACAAATTCACAACTTCCCTACATCAGTACTGTACATAACTCTATCATTTAGATTACAAACTTGTTTGCACGCACAAACTTGATAATTATTTAGAACCATAAGTAGCCAAGCTGTCACATCTCAAAAAATTCTAATCAAATGTAGTGGGGATGGCTTGCGGGCAATGTTGCAAAAGTAGGGATTAGTTGACCAGGAGGCACTGGTCACCGCACCACCTCACCCCTTGGACTGCCCAGATGAACAGTGGTCTGCGACCAAATTGTGCCATAATCCAAGAAGCAACACCAGAAACTTTCTCAGAGGGCCCCGGTGAGCTACTCTGCTGGAGTTTTAGTCAGAAAAGTGGCAGAACACACCCTCACGGGCTGGTGGCCTGAACCTGACCTGCAAACCAGACCCGACCCAGTTCCCAAAGGTTGAAGAAGGTTGTGCCGAGTTAAATGATTAGCTGCGTTTTGATGTTATTTTTGGCAGTTTAGTTCTTTAAGTTTCGTAAACATGCTGTGTAGCCCTTAAATTTTCAACATTTTTCAATTTCTGATTTTTCTCCCACTTTTAATGACTTTTTTGACATTTTTTTGAAAAAAAGAAAAAAATTGAAAGGCAAGACATCCAGATGCATTATGGTTGCACCTGGGTGCTCCTGGGCAACAGGTGCTAGTCCGCCCACTGTGTTTTGCAACATTGCTTGCATGAAGAAGAGTTTCATTTAACAGAACTAAAAACCATCATATAATTTGTTTTTATATTAGTCTGAGATTGTGCATTTTATTAAACCATTAATTAGAAACTATCCCTCCCATCTATCCCTCATCTTTTCCAACCTCATAGAATCATAACATAATTCACAAAATACAGATGTACAAAAGCAATAAACTAGCTAAAACTTATAGCCTTATCCAACAAAAATTAAATAATGAAGACAGGAAATCATATAAAATATACAAAATCATAGTGTTTTAGCTTCAAAATAATTGCTTACAGGTGCATCCAAAATGGTAAACCTAGTATTTTCTTTCTCAAAGCATGCTCTTCCAACTTCCACGGTAATACCCTACAATCAATTGTGTGAGATTGTGCAAACAACAAATAGCAATGGCATGTATAAGGAAAAATTAAAATTGCAACCATTTTTTTTTTTTTTTTAAATAGCAACAATATGGAATCCACAAATGTAAACATGGTTACCACACATCTTAGAGTACCTTAATTCTCTCGTCTTAATTAGTGTCAATAATATATGCTGTATACCTAACACAGAAGATAATTATGGTCAAACAATGCAAGAGCTGAGACTCTTATTGTCTAGCACATTAAACATTTAACAATCTCAAGAATGCTTGATGTGATGCTGAATCAAACAAACTTTAACAGGAAACTCAACCAGAAATTTTGAGAGCAACTTATATTGGCATTTGATAGGATAAACAGAATATCTTCAGAAAATTTTCGGCACTTTGAAATCCATTAGTCTTTCAAAACTCGTGACAATTCAAAAATGATTTGAAAACTTGAAAGCAATCCCTCCAAACAAAAATTCTAATCTGAAAATCCACAAATTAAATAATTTGAATCAAGAGGATCCCAATTTCAAGTTTTAAACCAATGAAACTTAAAACATACTTTTAATCCCATCCACAACCTTGCCTAACCATCCAAAGCAAACTGCAATTAAACATTTTAAAAGGAAAGAAAAAATCCACCACTCTCAACTTGTAAAAGAAATGTTACAGTTTAAGGCTGGAAATAGAACCATTTTTATAGCTTCTTAACTCTTAGCAACAGCCAACAATCTGATCCTTACCATATCAAAAATGTCTTAAGATTTGATCAATGGTTTGGGTCTAGTCATTGCTGATTCAATATCACACTAAATTATTCTTTACAAAAGATATTACCCAAAATTGTTCTATGCTAGCAATTATTTTCAGCATAGATAGCATCAGGGATCAAATTTATACTTTCAAGTTCACATAACAAAACATATATTGGCAATACCAGCATAATGCTAGCCTAACTTCTAAAATCAAGTTCCTCATTGGATGATTCTCTTGGCATGCAAAACAAGCATATCAAAACAAACAACCTTTTAATAGCAAGAAACATAATAAAAACAATATGTTTCCCTGAATGGTTACGTAGTATATAAGGAACGAGAATGTAAAGTAACATAGGACAAGAAACCATTTTTCAAATTGATTTGTGTTATATTATCATTCCCTTAGGCAAATAGTTTAGAAGTTACGTAGGAAAAGCATCTATTTTCCATGTAAAGAATAAAGAATGAATGTAAAGTCTCACCAACTTTCTCTACTTTTGTCTTTTGCTTCTTTCTCATATTTTTTTGATTGTACAGTCATCAACCTGACCACTATGGAAGAGTATCTGTCCTCCAATTGCGACTTCCCAGCATCTAAAAACCAATTACAAAACAAAGCCAAGACATACCATTTAGATGAAAAATCTAGGGATATAGGACCAAAGACATTTGTGATTAAAAAGAGCCAACATTCCTCACGTTGATCAACAATTGTCCCTTACAATGCCAAATAAAACAAAGTTGCCAAATTGAAAAAGTTGAAACTTTAAACAAACTAAAAACACCTTTCCATAAAAATAATATACAATATCCAAGAAAGAAAGCTTGAAACTTCTCAAAAGTATGTAGATACTAAATAGAAACAGGAAACCATAAGTTCGTTTTTTTTTTTTCTCTACCATAAGATTTTAACGTAGGGAATACAATATGTTCTAGGAAACAATTAACACAGTCAACTCCACAATGGATCTTAGAAAATGCCAAACCATTAAATTATTTCTATGTGGCATCTAGTCAACCAATCCCTAAAGTCCAACTAAAAAGCTAATAAACAACAATGTGAAACACATTTCTCCCTTTTATTTGGCCTTTGAACATTCCAGTTGATAAAGAATAATAAAGGACATAAAAATGAAAAACCCCCACTTTTAATTTAAACAATAAGTAGAAAAACCTACCAACATGACCAATGAACACAACATTCAAGTGGCGTTTCTTATTTTCTTCCACCTCATCAAGAACTTCAGCATCTTCAAGAGCTGGTACTTCCTGATCTGTCACTGCACATCCAAACCAAAACAAAAGAACGAGACAATGATAATTGGGTTGTGTAGAAAATAGAATACATATTACCACAGTTTGCGGTGTTTATGTATTTTGGAAGAGGAGGAAGGGAAGGAACCTTTGGGTTCAACCTTGACTTGCTGAGAGACTGTACCATCCTTTGTCCCTGAAAAGGAAAGAAAAAGAGTAGAACGAAATAAAGGGAAAAAAGCACCACCAATATGCACT